GATGATGATGATGATGATGATGATGATGATGATGATGATGATGATGATGATGAAGATGATGGCATGGTGGGGAATGGATTGGGGAACATGGGAAATACTACTGACTGAAGGTGTACCATTTCTGGTATAATGGTTGTAAAATAATATGTGATGATGATGATGATGATGATGATGATGATGATGATGATGATGATGATGATGATGATGAAGATGATGATGATGATGATGATGATGGTGATGATGATGATGTTGATGATCAATTTTCGAGACTGTTCTTTTAAGTTACTTTACAACAAAGGAGGATGACGGCAACGATGACGACGACGACGACGACGAAGAAGAAGAAGAAGAAGAAGAAGAAGAAGAAGAAGAAGAAGAAGAAGAAGACTTACTGATGCTCGATCTGGTAGTTGAGGTGTCCGGTGAACCAGTCCTTGAAAGTATCAGAGCTAAGATTGCACGTGTGGCCAACCTGCAGTCTGAACCAGTCCTCTCCTGTCTCCTCTTCTATACCCATGGGCACGTGATTGATGGTTGATACCCAGGAAAACCAGTTGCTCTCCAGAAGCCTGATAAAATTAAACGGACAGATTCACAAATACACATACAGTCGGTACCAAAGCATAGATCTAGGTCTTCGACTTCTTATTAATAAAACACAGCTCTAGGCGCTTTACATAAATGCATGTACTAACAAACTTAATAATTAATTTCAAAATAATTTTAAAATATTAAAAAAACACTTTAGAGTTCTGATACAGCCTGGTAACAGAAAATACGGATTCAACATACAGCCGTGCCAGACTGAATCCCCGTGTCACTATCTCGTTATGGAATTCGTTACAATGTAGCAGGCTCGGTGAGCTGATGTCTTTATCTTGTAGATGAATAAACAGTCTTAAAAGGTATAGGAACCAATCAAACACGATCGAGCGAAAATAAACAGAGAAAAAAGGGGAAAGGGAAAGAAATAGAGATCAGGAGGAAGTGTACTGAGAAATGATCAAGTGAAAATATACAAAGAAAAAGGACAAAAAGCAAGAAAAAGGGAGCAGGAAAGAAAGAAAAACTGAGAAAGAAGAGATCGTTTGCAGAATTGAAACAGAATGAAAAAACACTATTAGTATTAGTCTGTTATTTTTATTAGCAAACCCTATACACGAAAAAAAAGCATTCAAATTAAAGTTTCGAGGCTTAAACTGGTGCATGGTAAATATTATTGAAAAATGACATGAAACACCATTTTCTGTTCTTTGGCTGGTACACAACTTCAGCATATTCTGTACATTATCCTGTATCACACAACGTTTTTAATCACCTGGAAATATTTTGTTTTTATTTTTTAAATGTAAGTTTAACCATCGTTTTTCTCAATTTGTTTCGGCTTTTTTGCGCTTTTCTCGGTTTTTCAATTTTCAAGCAAAAAGTTGCAGCTATGTCACAATATCTCAGAAAGTATTATAGAGCTACAGATCTAAAACTTTGAATAGTGGTGGTCCATGCTATTTACACAATGATAGACTATTCACTTTAAGGCCCAATCATAACTTTTCGAATAAATGTGCTTCTAGTTACCCTTAACCCACAACATTTTGAAAAAAAGTTGAAACACATTATGAAAAATGATTTTTTTAAAAATTGTCTCTAGATTTTCTTTAAAAATGTTTAAAATGTTCCTTGTATGATTTTCTACAATCCTGCCATGTTTTAATGAGCTGTCTTAAAAAAACTTTTGAGATATCCTGACAAAACTGTAGCTTATATTTTATTCCGTGTATCCCCCACTCCCCCCACCGCCGAAACGGGGTTTTTGGAGTACTAGCAAATCAAAAACCCAATATTCTGGTCAAAAATGTCTGTTTTTGTCTGTTTCTGCCCCCAATGTATCATTTTAGGGCATTTTTACTTCCTCTGGACGAAGAAATGCATTTACCAGTTTAAACTAACCTTAAGGAATTATTTGCCCACAGATAAAATTAACACACCCACACACACACACACACACACACACACACACACACACACACACACACACACA